GAACATCTTCTTCTTTCCTGAAGATGTTCTGAATAAAGAACGAAATAATGAATCAAACATGGCTTTCATTAGTCTTTATGGAGTCTGCATAATATTGAGAGAAACTACTAATTAACCCTCTTTTCTTTCCCTCTCTTTTGTCCGCAGATTAAACCCTCCCCCCGGTCCAGTTCGTTCAATTGTATGTTTCTCGGATCTCTTCCCACCTTACATCCCTTTGTTGCTCAACCAAGCCTTCCATGTAGTCCCCCCCGTTTCTTCACCCCCCTTATCCAGCCTGAAGCTTTCTTGACCTTTCCTCCTGTCCTCCTTGATTCGTCCATGCTTTGTTGGTTCCCCCGTTCGCTTGTTTGTCCTGTCTACTTGTCATTTTGCCTTTGAGAAAGATTAGGCTAGGATTGAAACGCCAGGCCCTCCATTTTGTGATTTGTATTTTAGGTCACTGTAGTCAGCAAGCAGTTTGCAGCAGTTTTGCATTACATATCTCGGCTGGTCTAGTTCGACCAGTGAGTCAGATGCTTAAGTATGCGCAAGCTCAATTCTGTTACACGCGAACGACCCCAGTCAGCCTATGCCTATCTCACTCTCAGGGATTCTGGCAACTTACTTGGTCATTAAGATCTCGTACAGTATTATTTTCATGTGAATGGTCCCCCCCCCATAATGAAAGATGAAATCGGTTACAACCAGCGGCGCGACTATGACCCGGAGCCTGGTCTAAAATGGTCGACGAGATCGTCCAAACCACTCGCGGTCACTTGGGCGGTGTTATAGTCTAACCACAGTCAACGATAGTCGTGGCTCTAACTTGGCTATGTTGACGAAACCATTGAGTCAAATACAAAGCTGTTACTCGTGTGTAGTTGAGTTTGCCACGAACAACGTACGTGCATACACGACCCGAAACTCGAAAAAAATATGCGTTGTTTTCTGCCACTTTAAAAAAAGAAAACTCTAAAAGTAATTTTGATTAAGCAGAGATCATATGCAGGAGTTTATACGACTGTTGAATATGAAAGAGGTATAAGGAATCATACATCGAGTGACCTATACTCCCTGTATAAATTTCTGTTGATTTTTTTTCCGGCCCACGTGATTTTTGACAAACCGTTCAAAATTAAGCGCGAATCGAACATTTGGCCGTTTTCTGGGAACAAATTTCGCACAAGTTCTTCCATTTTACAAGATAGGCCTATTTAATTTACTTTTCGAACAGAACTCAGAACAAACTGACAAGGAAACATCAAAAACAAGGAAAACCTCACTCCGTCACCTCGTTATATGCGCAACTCGATGGACCGGTACATTTCAAGTGGCGGGGTATTGTGCATTTACTCCGTAAGACTTCCTCCTACCTTATCAAGAGTCATGCTCATACCTTATCAAGAACCCTGTTGAATGTCTGTCCTGACGACGCCGACGTGATTGATTTCCAGATTTGCCTGACAGCCTGAAGCTGCCACGTATGTTCACGCAGCACTGCCGGTGTATTAATTCAGTTCACACATGGGATTGTATGGGGGCGCGCATGACAGCAGTAGCTGTATCAGGTCCTGTCTCCTGCGATACGGCTTCGAATTTTGATTTTTGTGCGTGCCGTAGTCTCACACATGGAGACGCCGCACCGCGTGTTGCCAACATAGAGGACATGTACAACAAAAACTGTTGAAAGTATTTCTTGTAGGGGTTTTCCTGAAGATATGCCCCAGTGCCCACATGATTTTTATCGACACTATTAAATCCTACTGAATTCTACTGTATTCGAATATCATCGGGACTTTCGGTTAAGTAATGTATTGCTTTGACACTGACAGAGTAAAGTCACAGCAAGCCTGATTTTTAAGTTCGTGAGATCTGGTTTAAAAATCCCAAAAGATCCCAAAAGTGGGCATGGCACCCAAACTTTGAAGGACCATAACTTGAAAACCATTTAAACTAGGAGGCTCAAACTTGGATTCTTTCATTTGTCATCTATGGCACTAATAGGATAAAAATCAGGCAAATTGAAGAGATGTCACTGGGGAGGGGGTGTGACTTGACATGAAATGACCCAAAGGCCAGATTGTGAGGCCGGACCAAATTGCGATGCGAATTGGCAAAAGTTGGACACAATTTCAACTCTGGCGAAATTTCGCAGCAAATTTTTCGTGACGTCAAATTCGCTTCGTTTTCGCATTCACCTGAAGCATGAACCGGCCTTAAATCTTACACTCTCGCGGTGAGCAAATTTCAAGAAAAATACTGGCTAGTGTTTATCTGGAAAGAAGACATTTTTGGCACAGTTCCAATACCAAACTTCAACACAATTCATTTTCAAGGAAATTCAAGTTCAGCCTGACCTACGTATTTAAGAGATCAAGGCCTGTACAAAGAGAGGGTCAAAACAAGTAAGCAGTATCCGACGATACCTTAATTTATTGAGCTGCACTTCAGTAAACAAAATTAGACTAGTGCATATTTTCAAATACATACATTTATAGTATTTCCAAATGCATATTTCAGAAAGTATGACAAATTAAAATTAAATGAATTGTTTGACTAAAAACCATTTACATAGGAGTGAGTGGAATTTTGACATGAGCGGTTTAAGTGTTGAAATGCTGAAAAACAATTCTGTGCCAAGTTGAGGGTTTAACCACACCCAAAACAACACAGCCACAACAGGCAAGCAACAGTACGAGTACATAATCCATTTCTGCTCACTAACGAAGCGGACACCTTAAGGCCAAGTGAGGAAAAAGAGAGGTTCTTGTCTAGGGACTTTTGCAGACATTTTCAACACAGCAGGTAGGTTTTCTTTTCTAGGTAATTTTGTGTCAAGGAGTTTTCATTTCATCTGTCAGGTTTAATACCTGCTATGGTATTAAAGCTAGATATTTTGTTAGGGGCAAGAAAATGTTCAAATAAAATGTAACCAAAAACCAATTTAGGGAGACAGTGGTTCAGGAAAAAAAAGAAGCACCCAGGAACGAAAAAGAAGTATCTTTTCTTACTGTGCCTCAATGAAACTAAATCGTTGTGCTGTTCTGGGCAAAATGTCTGTGTGCTTAAATGCACCTGCAGATCAACCTAATTCACTTCAAGGACTATGCAATACTTGTGATTCCATTCAGTCAGAAAAAGTCAATATCTTTTGTCCATCTGTTCAAAGTCTTCAATAAATATTGAGAATCTTAAGTCCTTACATCTGATGAAGCACACGGAAAACTAAAATTACAAACTGAATGGAACTGGCAATGATCAAAGTGCAACAACTGTATTGAACACAATTTTTCGTACAAGCATTTACTGTAAATCATACCTTGGCATTAAATTCCTGAGTTGTAACAATTAGTGAGGAACCACATGCACAATCTTCAATTATCATCATCTTGCAAATATTATGCAATACATTGAAAATTCACATATTGTTGCGCACGTCATATTGCACGAGAACTAGTGGCATACTTCCTGAGGTTTTCTGAAAGTGTGGTATGTTATTTCAAGGTTGTACAAGTTGAAAAGAGAGTGTGACTTGTAAGGAGATTGTGTCTTTTGAAATTCAAAATGAAAGGACCGGGGATGGGGGGGCACAAACATTCCACTGGTTATCGACGTGCGGCAGACTTTGGAACCAAATGGCTTCCATTCTCAAGTCGTCCCAAGTCTCGTTTCATTCGGCTCTAAGCTGGTCAGAGGCCATGCTGCAATTCAAGGTGTGCCACCCAGACGAATGAAGTACATCTATTTACTCATGCATGGAGACCCCTTCATTCAACAAAAAAAATGCATCCAAAATTGGCAAAAGGAATTGCGTTGCTGAGTAACTAACATCCTCTCTCGCACACGAAGCCTGTGATGATTCATGTGCAACTTTATAGCATGAACCTCAGACAGCTGTGATTCGGTGGATGCATGCCCAATTTCCCATCATACAATTCGGTGTGTGGTGGGGAAAGTGACCCAAATTTTCCAAATCTCAGCTCTGTCTCTTTGCTTCAAAATTGACCCAAGTGCTGAAACCGAAACTGAAACCTTGTGTGTTAAATCTTTGTGCACCAGAAAAATCTACCTGCACTCAGCTATCGCTGGTGACAAAATTCCTAAAACTGTAATCGAAAAAGTCCAGGCTTTAAAAAACCTGCAAGTGCACCCCACATTCCTACACTTCAAATGATGCCATCAATACCTCAGTGGTAAAGTTCTGACTCCACTGACCCTAAAGATCTGCTGTTAAAATGCAACAAAATCCAACACAGCCGAACTGCGAATGCTGAAAGCAGTCACCTCCAACATCATGCCCAATTTTGTATCGATCTCGTTGGCATATCCAGGTCACATAAAAAATCTGGACTTGATCTTGTACCTACTGAAGCCACCGACGGCCATTTTACTGTGCCGAATACTACAGTAAAGGTTGACTTGCTTGCCAATGTAACTATTGTTGACAACAACCATTTGGTTAGCAATTGCGAGCAAGTCTTTGTATCACCTTTGTATAGGCACAGTAAGATGGTTGCCCATGGCTTCAGTGACCTATGTGAGCTGATTGAAGGTCATTGCTGGTCCAGATTGTTTCTTGTGATGTCTGTGTTCCTGCATGCTAATCCCTCTATTTCCTCTTGGCACACTGCAGCCATGGGCATGCAGAGCCTTGATCTGGCCGCTTTACACAATTAATGTCACATTTTTTGGAATTTGAGTTATAATCAAATTGCTCAGATCCTAAGCTTTCATTCCATAAATAATTCATCTCTGTAGCATTTCGCATTGTGGAATTTTGCACTATTTGCATATTCATACAATTTCATTTTACCACACATGCTTTTCGAGATAATGCCCTTTAAACATAACGGACAGAAATAATAAACTTAATTTACATGTAGACACGCTCTTGGTTTTCCTTAGCAGCAGAGTCTTTGTAGTCAAGCAATTGGCATCAAAATATTTCCAAACATTTGTACCCCGGCACATGGAATGGGCCATTACTCGTTTTTGCATTGCCCAACTTAATATACCTTTTTGCCGCCGGTTCAGTGATTCTCGTGTATGTTGCTCATGCAATTTTATGCTTACTGCATTAGTTCTTATACCATGCAATTGGACAAAATGATTCTGACGCTATTGAACAAGGTGTCAGTTCGAGGCTCTGCATGCCTGTGGCGGCAGCGTGCCAAGAGCGAATAGGCCATTTGCTATTGTGTTGCGCAACAACTCCCACTCTCCTGTGTAATCAATGCACCGCTGCACAACAACTGTGGACCACGGTGGTAACTTCTTGCTAAATGCAAGGGTTACAGGTCATATCATACGTGCGATTCACAACAGTGTGCCTCTGAGAGTTTGTAAAGCATTGACTAATCACAGTGAGAGAAATCTGTCAACCTAATGCGCATTCAGAAAGGGTCGACAGATTTTGTCCACTGTGATTGGTCAACACGTTGCAAACTCTTGGAGGCGCACTATTGTGAACTGCCCGTATTCTGCTACATTCTGCAGTAGATTCATCAAACAATTTGCAAGCAGGGAGCATCAAAGGTTCTGGCGTCATTCTTTAAAAACCTTCCTCCAGTACACTGTATTCCGGCATACCATTAAACTTGGCTCAAGCTTTCCAAACCTCTGGTCTTCGTCAGAGATATGATGTGTGTCCCCCAGGCTAAAATTTCACCGCTAGCGTTCAGTATGTGTGCCTGGGTGAAGGCCGTGCTCTTGCCAGCTTTGATGACATCAACGTCAATCGAGACTTTTTCTCCAATGTCCGCTGATCGAAAGAAACTGGAAAAGAAATTTCAAACGTGTTGGGCCAACAGCATCGAGTTGCAAAAAATATTCTTTAAAAATATATCAACCAAATCCTACATGTATGTATCACTTGGCCAACATCCTGACTTTTCAGAAAGGCAAAATCAGGGCTTCCCCTGGGGTACCGACATGTTTGAGGTAGTTAAACAAATGTTGCCAAATTCTCGCATCTAAAACAAAAGCAAGGGTTTTTAAAAGGACCTAAAACAATTTCTACATGTAGATAGAATAATAGCAGATTTTCTCTAAATTTCCTCTCTATAAAAGTAAATCAATTTTATATTCTGTGTCCCTCTTTTCCACTCTGAATGATTTAAAACTGATCTATTTCCAACTATCTTCAGTTGTTTTGATTTTTCTTTCCATCTTTGTCTATTTTAAGTGTGAGGCAGTAAAATTCATCCGAAAAGGTTGCTAAAATCAGTGAACATGGTGAAGTGGGCCGCCTCACAGTTAAATTGGCAGGGGAAACCATGGACAGAATCTATCAGCCAACTTGACGAATACACAGACGCCACGAACACTGACTCTTAAAACTCACAAATATGCCATTCTGATGAAAGATTCTGCAGGGAGGTAATACATATTACAGATGTACATGTACATCTCTATCATGAATATTGACCCCTATATAGTGTCGTGTGGTGTCAGGGCCCCCCTCCCTCCACCATTCTCCACCCCCCCCCAAATTTCCGGCACAAATTTGTTCCACTGGCTAGTTTGTGCTTGGCCAAGAGCAAACATGAAAGTGATTCCAAGGTATCAGATCCACAAGTGGCCTGGTACATTGAAATCAGGAGGTCCCAAATTGACTTTCTGAGATTTGTACATGGTCAGAAATAGAATTTCATAAGCCTTCAAATGGTACACATTGCAAGTGTGTTGATGGTAACCTTTCATGCATACACATCCAAAATATACAGAAACCGCCATGTCGATTTTTTCAACCTTTACCCACATCACATTAGCCTCGGCCACTTGTTCCTAATTACGATGTACCGGGTCACAGATGTAAGTGCTGTAAGCTCACAAAAGGGGAACCGCTTCAACTCAAGCAAACCTCACGGCAAAAGTTTCAAATGGCCAAATTCACTCTGCTTTTTTGTTGCTGCAGTAAAACTGAGCCTAAACAATAGATCACACTGGCGTGCATGTACATGTACACCTAGGGTACCTCATGTTAAGCTGTGCACTGACTCCTATTCTGCCCACTTGCATTGCCAGCGTGGCCAACGTTAACGTATCAACCATCATCGTCATGTAGCCACCGTGCAGTGTTCGCTGACCATTGGAGTGCTCCTCTTCAACAGTCAGTTCACAGCGAGAACTGCCACGGTTCGGGGAAACAGACACAATATTAACCTAGCAAAAGAGAGGAAACATTTTCCCGCTAAAAAGTAATTAATTTGCAAATGGACCAATCACACGGAGGACTACAACTTCATGCTGTCCACTTCTGTTGCACCAATTTACTCCTGGGTGGAGAGAGGCACATAGGGGTAAAGTGGCTTACCCCAGATCACAACATGCTGCCACCAGCTGGATTCGAACCCCCGACCTTATGATCAGAAGCTACAAACCCTAACCACTAGGCCACATGCCCCATTGCAGATTGCACGAGTCCCGCCGCCCATTCCAAAGCTTACTCCGTGTCTTGGTGTGACCATTTCAGCGGCAGGAGGAAAGATCTGTCACAGCTACACAGGCAGCGCATGTCGCACGTCACACATCCCACTGACAGTTACACAACGAAAACAAGTAAAGTTGCTACCCCTCGCCACCCAAAATGGCCGAACCAAGATGTGAAGAATGTAGCAAGCTTTGCCACTGGCGGGCCCGACACATACATGTGAAATCTGATAAACAGAAATGGAGCAATCTTCCTTGGGTGGAAGTGAAAGTTTGGCAAGTAAAAATCCACTCACCAAACTCTCAAATTCAAAATCTAATTTTTTTTTAAATACTCGGTCTCATGCTCTGAAATCTTCATTCCATCCTTTTTAAGAGCTGCAGGTTACTCAAGTTTGCTGTCACAGGAAAATTTGGTTAAACATCTTTGTTCCACCTGCGGATCATTCACCTCTAAAGATCGATTTAAAAAACCCATTGCGTTACAACTCCATGCAAACTCATTGGCTCAAAGGTCACACGTAGTATGACGGAGTAGTGACTTTGGGTTCTAAAAGTACGTCCATGGTACCACAGAGCTATATATTACCTGGTGCATGAAAGTAAGATCGGAAAGATTTCCATATACGGATGCCACTCAGCCATAGGCCTACCATGCATTACACCCTAAGTAGTTTCGATGTGATCACAGCTACCGGATATACGGCGTTCAGGAATCAGTCATCAGCATGCTTTTTGTGAATGGTCCGCTAGGCCAGCACGGCGTGACATCGCTCTCGATGACAAGACCATTTCCGATTTGAAGGAGAAATTTCTGTTTTTTTCTTCCCAAATGGGAGTAAACCTTATCATCATTGCTGGAATCTCCGACTCTCACTTGATCCTAAGCCGGGCACCTTAGACAGTTTAAGGACCATTTTGGAGGTGAATTCGGAGGATTTTAACTCAACGTACATGCTATTTTGAGTGAAATGAATTAATGAAACTGAAGGCATAATTTTTTCCTCGAAACTAGGAAAAGGGGAGTTTTCTGCAATTAGCAACCTAGGGGATAGTTTAAGCCGTACATGTAGGCCTACATGTAAGTATTGAAAATATGTACTGGTGCAATTTCAGCTCATAAAATCCGGCAGATGTCTGATTATGCCCCCGGACATCCCCGATAAACTTTTTCAAAAGAAATCACCATCAATAACAGGGCCCAGTATACAGTGGTAGGGCCTATATGACAAAGGAGTAGGCCTATATGACGAAGGAGTAGGCCTATAGGCTATAAGCCTACGTCGGGCCCTGTTTATGGGTTTAACCCTCAACCCATGCCCAGGCAGTGTAACTTCTATGACAAGTGTTTGCCAAGTAACGACTCAGTCATCATGGCTAATGGGTCACAGGTGGGAATAATTTATTGCATCTCATTTTATTTCGGACACACACAGGCATGATGACACTCAAGCATAGCCCAAGAAATGTGGGGTTCGTCGTCGCGTCCACCGCGCTTGGACGGGAGACAGTGACTATATATATGACTGACTGAGAGTGAGCGAGAACGAAGATCTAGACAAAGGGCGAGCGGCAGTTTTGCAGTTGGCCCTACGTCTACAACACGTGAGTGACAGGCCTAGCATCTTAGCACGTGTATGGAACATCAGAAAAAACTTACACTCTTGAGAACTCTATCGTAATTCCGTCCTGAGGTGGTCATTTTCCACAGATGTCTGAATGTTTGCAGTACCGCTTCGGAGGCCGCCATGTTGCGCTACCCTTCTCCTTCGTAGGTCAAAAGAGGGCGCCATTGAAATGATCAAAATGAACAATATCTTTTTTGTTTTTTGAAGTCGGGATATCCGTTTTTAAAAATTTGAATTTTCTGCAAGCAGATAATTGGATTCACAAATCTCACAGTACCCGAAAAGGGCAACTCATCAGTATGAAGATTTCAACGAGCGTTGCACCACTACGTTCAAATTTGAACGATCTTCGGACAATACTGACTTCCATCATCACATTACACCCAACACAGACACCCAACAACTGCTTAGAAATGTGTTCATTACGCACAAGTGGTCTAAGTTAATTAGTTTACCAGCCTATTTTAAGACAGTTGCAAATCTGTTGCTAGTGGTAAGTTCGATATGACGGTAATGGACCATAGTAAGGCTTGTATTTTGTTTGCCCGTATGAAACAAAAGTTGTGTTATGGGAAGTTGGAGAAAAAATTCCTAAATAATCACTGTCAACTTTACAATGATGTGGTCCACAAACGGAGAAAGGCTTGACGTTATTAAATGAGATGTCACTTCTCTGCGCCGTGCACGTTGTTTATTCGAGTAATTTTTTCTCGTCACGAGGATGTGTGCATAACATGACAGTATATAAAACTACAGCGCTCGATTTTTGGGTGTATCCGTGTTCGTGCCATATGCAGTAGGGGCAAAAAAAGTTACATACACTTGCTGGAAAACAGTTTTCCTGAACTTTTAGCTGTTTGAAATAGTTCTGCCAATTTTGAGGTGAGAGAATCAGCTTAATGTTCATAGAGTGTGCTTCAATTGAAAATACATTTATTATGGTTCAAAATATTAATATTACTAAACATTATTTAGCGAAAATTTACATTTACCCCTTACTGTCGTTCAAAAACACTTCGGAAAGTTGTCCACTGCGACTATTATATGCGATGTGACAAAAAATACAGAAAGTGGCACTAAATATTAGGGTTGGAGTATGTAAAATTTTGATTTTTTGGTAAGTATAAATATAAATCATATGTCTCTGGGTGTTTTTATTTGACGCATACATCACCATGTACATTAAGTAGAAGCACATCTTGTCTGTCTTCGTGAAAAGAAATGTAAGTTGTGAAATTTGAGGAAAACTGCCGGTTTTTCGTTCCACCAGGTGTATGTAAACATTTTGCCCCTAGTATTCTATGATTTGCCTACAAACTCAATCTCTAAATTTTATGCGACTTTTGTACAGCTATTCGGCCGTGATTTTTTAAAATTGTATTTTATCGGTACCCGATGCGCGGTTGCATTTAGAGTGCAGATTTCGATATTCATTGTCTGATTTCGAATTTTCTACAAGCACACACATGGATTTAACATGTCTGCACCCAGGATGGAGTCAAATCTTTTCCGCGCGGAGAATGAGAAGAATGGACGCCCGTTTCGGATATGCATTTGTAACACATTGTGACTGCTTTTATCGTTTAATCCACCATCCCCGACTTGAATTTACAGTTCATTTAAGTTTGCGTCTGTCAGTGTCCCGATTTTGCCATAAGCCTATCAAATAAAATTCCAGTTCGTTGCTTTCTGCCGCTCAGTCAATTTCCTCACCTTGGCCATAATTCTATAGCATGGAAACAATTGCCAAGGTTATTTCTTTTATTAAGGTAGAGAGAGAAAAAAGGTGATTCCCATACAGTTCTATGTTGTTGGCGGTCACACTTTGTCCACGAAAAAGGAATGTCACGTGATCACACATGATAATCTAATCGGCGTACATCCCCACAATTTGGGGTTGTTCCTCAAAGTATAGTTTTTACCGAGTCAGGTGGAGGCTTTCCAATGCTAATGAATCGCGGTATGGTGTATACGAACAATTGGTTAGTTTGTAAGATTTTGCAAAATTGCTTGGACAAAGTGGCCAATTCGTCTCCACTTTGGTTGATACTTGCCTGACTTAGTGCACGACTGTGGAAATTATATTTTTAATCAATAATTTTTTTGGGGGGGGGAGAAGCAAGATTTTACGGATTGGCATCTATCAGTGACGCCTTTTGCCTGGCAGAAGTTTTTAAAAATAATCTGCTGGTGATCATGCCTGAATCAATCCAGGAGGCGAAGTCCTCCAAAGGTATCGCTGATCAGGGAAATCTTTCCAGTTTGTTAAGGCTGCCACTTGACGTTTAAATTAGGTATTAGCTGTTTAGGATTTCCACCTGCTGTACCAAGTGGAGATAATCGACATAAAGACGTGTATACTATACGCTGAAATGAACTGCACATTGGTCAGCAATCTGCTACATGCTTTTTTTCCCCTAGAAGAGCCTTTCTCTTTTTTCCCCGACAATATTTATACGAAGGCGAAGGTACCAACAATTTTTGGTCTCTGCCAATTGCCAGTTTGGAGGGACCGATTTGGCCATGGTAATTATCCAATTTTTCCGGTGGGAATGCCCCTTACTGCTTCGTTTAAGCAAACGACGTGGACAACAACATCAGTATGTAAGAATTCAGCTTCAGAAAAAAAGTCTGGCTGAAGGTCATTTCAAATCTCAATACTGGAAGGCACCGTCGTCGAGCAATTGGCAAAGCTCGGCTTGAGGCTTCTTGATTACAACTCGCGTTTTTAACAATACGCGCAAAGTGTTGGAGTACTGCAGTGGGGTAGTGATGTAAATTTCAAATTTCCTCTCCGGGTACCGAAAGAAATCAATGCCTTTGCTGTTTGAAAGGAGTCCACGAATACAAACGCACAGCACGGGGAGAAAAAAAATATGACTAGCACATTTTGCTTCTGGTCAGTTGCCACTTGTTGGGACACTGTCATTATATTTTGTGTCATTATTGCCGGAACACGTTCATTGTGTTTGGTTTGGTTTGGTTTGGTTTGGTTTGGTTTGGATTGGTTTGGTTTGGTTTGGTTTGGTTTGGTTTGGTTTTCCCCAGCGTGGCACGACTTACGTGCATGAATCACACCACCATGCTGGCAGTCACTTGTTGATTGGAGCAGGTGTAGCACAATAACTGACGGACCTGGACAAGCTCACACAGACAAAGTTACTATAATGTGTATAGTGCTCGTTAATGACAGTTTTTGCTCTTTTGCTGAGCACACGAATTTCAACATCTCATCGGCTGAACGCGAAGCACTCAGGTCTCTTACGAACGATGATTCCATCGTCATTAAGAGGGTGGACGTGGCGCTGCGGTGGTTTGGCGTAAGGACTTGTGGTATGTCGCTGAAGCGGAACGTCAGCTGTCTGACGTTGCGTCCAACGCTAAGATTGACCGCGACCTCACACAAGAGCATCAAGATATTGTTGCTCGCACTGTCCGAAGTTTCATTGACTCTGATGACCTCCCCCCTAACGCAACCAAACTGGTCATTCCCAACTCACGCACGGCAGTCTTCTACTTGCTACCCAAAATTCACAAATCCGGAAATCCAGGCCGCCCCATCGTGTCTGCTTGTATATAGTTGTCCCACTGAATTGATATCCAATGATTTGATTTCCTTGACACCATTCTAACACCCATTGTCAAAACGCTCCCCAGCTATGTCAAGGATACTAATCACGCTCTGCGACTGTTGGATGAATTTGAGTTCCCAGGTTCATCCAACTTTCTTTTCACCATGGATGCAAGCGGCGATCAACACTTGTAACCCAACGTGCTGTGCATGTGCAGTGGGCGTGGTTTAAACTGGTGACGTCACACTACGAACCGAATACTCAGTCTGCCTTGATACAACCATGCGCAGGAATTGCCAGAGGATTGCAAAGGATTGAGGCATTGGTCACACCTCCAATGAACATATTCAAAAAATGGACTCTATTTCAAGGATTGAGACTGTATCCAACTTAATTTTTCCATGGCAGTTATAGATTTTGAATGACTAAAGTGTATCCTACCGAGAAGAGCCTCGGATTGGGCCCATGAGGCTACTCTGAATTGATAGACTAGTACAATTTCTTTGGTTTCGAAAAAAATTAAACACACTTTTGCACCAACAAAGATTACATGCCGAGATGAAGGTCTACGATGTGTTGTCCCGAAGAGCAATGAATGCAGAGACTTATCTTCCCTGTAACCGTGTAAACATCGTTCTCGTATGTCATGTTGTCACATTTAATAATGTAATCAAACAACCAATCCATCGACTCCGCTGAATAACTGTAAGAAAAAAATTGCATTGGATTCGGAGGACACGGGTTATTCAAACTATGACAAATGGAAGCGAATGGCTTTAATAATTTAATCAAACAATGAAGCCATCGACTCCGTTGAATTAAGTGTAAAAAAGAATTACATTGAAGTCGGAGGACACGGCTCAAACTATGACCAATGGAAGCGAAAATTCATTTATTGCGTTGTCAAACGTAGAAGAACATCTAACAGCACGAAATGATGCTGCGCATGCGTAACTTACGTTTTGTGGTATTCGTTTACTGTAAATTTAACGCCCCCTTTCAATACGGTCCGAATGCGTCACAACTATGGGGAAAAGTGAGTGTAGCGTATTGTTCCTGACACAGTTCGTAGAATCTATACAGGAACAATGACGCCTTTTACCCCTCTGGAAGTAAAATAGATAATTTTTAAAAAATTCACATCACACTCCTGACATCTCTCACTCCTGACGCGGTTCGTTGATGTGATCAAACGGGAACAATGACGTGCCTTACCACTCTGGTAAGTACTTCATAATGACATTGCGTGACAAAGGCATATTTTTTAACGGGCATATTCATATACACGCCTGATCAAGAGAGGATTGAAGCCAGCGTGTAGGGACTTCAAAAAGCGGGGTTTTTGTCCATTGTTTAACCTTAATTTTCTTCCCGATGAGAGGGTAAACCCCTTACTCTGGTGTATTTCCAAATGGTGACCAAATGAAATATCAGCCATGAGCCTATAATAAAAAAATTGCTAACGTTCAAGATAAAGATTGTAGTTTCATTCAGCGAATTCTATTTTGTAATATTTCTGGTTGAAACCTTCACAGGTTGTCCATTTTCCACAGAGCTTCCTCATTATATTAGCACTAAAAAAGAGCCGGGTTATTTGGGCCCATCTCACAGCCGGGGGGGGGCGAATTCTGCCCCCAATAAGAACTTGGCGATGCCACACCCGATTTTAGTTTGAAACTCGCAAGTAGGTACAAACACCCCTTATCGTCACACACGTGAAGTTTGAACTCAATTCAACGTGTAGTTTTGTTGTATATGGTCATTTGACGTTCCTGGCTAAATGCGTGCCAGTCGTTGTGCATTGAGCAACGTTTGGGCAAAAGTTTTTCTTTGATCGAAAGTTGTTCATAACAAACTGAAATCTTTATTTTAATCCCAATTATCAAGATGCTTGGTATAACTATAGTTGATTGTGTATAAGAATTACTTGGAATTTCATTTGGGGCATGGGGTACCCGTCCTTTTTACATTTCGGTTGTGGTTCGCATATTTTAAATACGTTTTTCCTGGTTAAGTCCAGTAAAATGCAACGTCAAGTTCATGTCAACACTGGCAACTTCGCTTCTGAAGAAATTTCAATTTGGTTCTTTCTAGGGTTTCGTTTTCGCAGTCACCACATCCATTGTCGTTTTATTATCCTGGTTCGTTTGCAGTCATTTTATTCACTCATTTCAGTCACTCCAACCATTTTACTATCCATGTGGGTATGGATTTTACTGCTTTCGTCTAACTGGTGCATGCATCAAGGAGTTCAATTTATGCGTGATACTGCTTATGAGTTGTTGCCATCATCTATGTAATTGTTTGTTTATGATAATCCTGCTTTATAGTCTTGGTATTAATTTGAAAGTTCCTTCTTATCATTACTTGCATTAACGTAGTATGTGTTAACCTGTAAGTTCACCTGTGCTCTGTTTTTATTTATTTTATTATTTTTTGTAGTAAACGTGTTCGTACCGAGCGCAAAATTCGTGATGCTGTCACATAAGCTATTCGCAATGCGAATTCGCAATCGAATTTAAACTGCAACGAGTTTCGCATTCACCATAAAAGTGGAACTTGGAAACTTGAAAATTATTTAGGTCTGGATAAAATTGTAACGGACAGTCTGTTTTCCGTAGTTTACTAGAAGACGGCACCACTGTCCGCAGCGCTAGCGGAGGGGCACCGGCGGCGCGCACCTGGCCTGGTTTTTGGGTCTGGGGCAGCGTGCGCTCCGGAAGTAGGTAACTAAAATAAACCACTTCAGTGGGGTTCTTTTGTTGGGGTAGGCGGGAAGGGTTTGGCTAGGTTCCAGGGCCGGGTTAAGTTGTTACAAAATGTATAATTTTTGTTTGCTGGGGATGAGTTGTGTTTTTGGAAGCATTGCGGCATGTTGCCGATGTTGGGAAAATTAAAAATGAAACAAGTTGAGTTTCGGGGTTCAAAGCATTTGAATCAACTGCGTCCCCTTTTTCTAGCGTTTTGCTATATTGGAGGACAAGAACCCTAATAGGTTACAATATTATGTTTTTCAGTGGCGCGAAACCATGTCTGGAGTGGATTGGCAGGATCATTTTGTATGGACCTTAACGTTTGTTAACATAACAGACATCCATTTTATCCATAGGGATGTCTATGTTTGATTCGTGCCAGCTTAATTCATATCTTCCATTAATATCCCTTTTATCATGACGCTAAAGACATAACTATTCAAAAACAAATCTGCTGACTATATTTTGGTAAAAGAACCGATGGTTTAGTGGCAAATCATCTTTCAGAATGACGTAAACACCCTCTTTAATGAAGGAGACTTTGGTTGTTGCTAATAAACGTTCAACTGACCTTTTTTATACACAGCAATAAAACTGCCGCTAAAAATATTCATTATAATTGGGATTCTAATTAGCCAATCAGAGTGATCCGTCCAATTTTGGTGGAAAGCCCCATATGTTTTGCCCAAAAGGGCTCGCAGATTGCTCAAGTTGGTAATAAGCCATTTGCGAGTTAAATTTAAATAAAATCTGGTGCACTGAGTTATTCGATTGCACACAAACATAACAATTTTAATTTTAATTTCCCAGACTAAAGACACTGTTGCTATACCTCGTTATTTGAGACAAGCTTTTGCATATACGACCACCATTCTCTGGAATGGACTGGTACCTTTGTGCCCTTCTTATCCATTGGGAATAGTGTATTTTCGCGAGGCTTCTCTTATGTAACTAAGCAAAAGCTTGCCCCGAATCACGAGGTATAGCAACAATGTTTTTGGTATGGAGAATTCAAATTGTTCTCTTCCCGTGAATTTAAAGAACTCAGTGTACCAGATGGTATTCAAAGGCCACTCGCAAAAGGCTTATTGGGCAACGCCGAACACGCATATCAGGGAGCGAGGTTGCACTGACCGTTCGAGCGTGTTTTTAAACTGCACGCCGAACCGCAAAGTGTACGCATCAGTGGCGTAGCTACTGTCCTAGTGGGTGAGGGGGCACATCTCATGGGGAGCACCAGCTTTCAGTGATGTGGTTTTTGGGGGGCAGGTTTTAGTTAGCCCTGTTCAATATCCATTCATCCGTTTTTTTGTTTTTTTTTGGAGGGCCCCACCGGGGATTTGTCAGCCACGTGCCCCCCCCGGCTACGCCACTGGTACCCATCACGAAGATGGTGGCCAACACCCGGCCAATTACCTACTTGACAGGAATTTTGTTTGAGAAAAAAAAATCGAAATTGCAATTTATCGTAATTCCAGTTCAAAATTTGACTTAATTCACAACTGCCGTGTGCCGGTAATCTTTACTAAATACAATCCTGTTTCTATAGATTTTTTTTTTCAGATGAACAACTTGCTAAGAATTTCACAGAACATATATCAGTAGGCCTAGTGGTTGCACGGTCAGTGTCTTACTATAGGCTAATTTTTCTCAGCGCAACGTTACACTGCCCAAAACAAAACAATTTGGAATTGCTATGCCGTGTACGTTGGTGCTGGCTGAACAGCCAGTGCAGTACGTATATGAAATCGCAAGATAGTGTACTTGACTGGCCACTGATTTCCACTTGTTCATCATCATAGTCAACTCTCGCTAGTACAGACTTGATTAATTTAAGACGAAACAACAATCGTAAACCGTCAGTCCTGCATTGTGCATGTTTCTATTCGACAATATTCTTTTAAGAAAACACAGATAGAACAAAATATTACGATTAAAGCTGAAGATTTTACAAACCCGGTCCGCTTGAAATTTGAAGTAAAGCAACCTTTAATTGGAGGTTACCAAAAACCGATCGAAATAAATGAGAAGCATAGATAGAAACGTTATCAATGCTCCTAACACTTATCTTTATCGGCTCTCATCAGACATTTCTAGTCCAGACAGGCCGATAAACAAAGCCTCTTATATATTTTGGACCTTACAAGGATTCCCGATCCCACACCTGATAAGAAATCGCCATCATAGGCACACATAAAAAGGGTTAAGCGTACTATTTGATGGAAGTGCAGACAAAAACATTAAGCAGTCACGGTCAAAAGAATCCCACCGTGAAGGGGTTAATTAAAAAAAAGTGAGCAGGTAGTTATAGGTTGCATCCCTTTGTGTCTGTTCCACAGTTACTGCATTATAAATGAAGGCAGAAGGCAGCTTGGTATCATTAATATTCACAACAATAGGAAGACAAAAACCTGTATATCATGACTTTGAATATTGGACAGACTTCACCGATGAAGCGTTTTGGAGACATGGAATTCATTATTGCAATCGGCATACTTTTGGTTTTTAACGATATTGCAGGGACTGGACAAATTATTTTAATATAACTATGACTTAATTTGTTATAGAAGAAGAATGAAAAACAAAGAAAAACAACATAATTCTAGAAATTGGGAACAGAATTTTGTTTTAACAATGTTCTTTATTATGAGAGTCGACTGTACTGCTCCTCCATATCAAAGTCTAGATCTGAATCCTGCCCTGAAACAATCCCTGCTTTCCTGAAATAATTGTCACTTTTATACAACCTAATATCACGTTTTCTAGCCGGTCCTTTTTTCACATCGCCCATCTGCGCATATTTTGTTCACTCAAGATTTCTTGAGTCCATTGTTGGAATCGCCAAGCTCAGTGTGCGTACTACTGAGAAGCTTTCTAGCCGGTCCATTGGTCACTTCGCCAATCCGCGCATACTTTGTTCTATGAAGCTTTTTAAGCCCTCCATTGTTCGCGTCTCTCATTCGATTTATTACACACTTAACACAATAATAGTTTATTTTCAAAACTGTTAAAACCGTTGGAGTTGGTCTTTAAAGACAAGAACAACAAACCCTATGTCGGATAGATTTGAAATTTCGAAGAGGTACTCAGTAATCAATGTTAAATACGTGATTACTGTCAGTACTGGGAATTCTTTTGTTTCTCTTTGTTTTTCATTGCTCTTCTATAACAAAGCTATAGATATATTTAAGTACTGTACATGTAATTTGTCCAGTAGCAGAAATATGCCGCAATTGCATTAATGAATTTCATGTCTCCAAAATGCCTCGTGTAAAGCATGTCCGACGGTTAAATTCATGGTTCATGTATATTGATTTGGCCTTCGGTTATGCACATTAATCATGAACTGCCTTCATTTTATAACCCAGTAACTATGGAACCGATACAAAGGGAGCGACCTATAACTGCCTGCTCATTATTTTTTTTTTAAATAATATTTATGATTAATGTTTATGATTACAAAAAGTCA